TTTTTTTTCCGGAAGACCTTTTTATCATGGCTTCAATCGTGTTAGTTGTTATTGGTCTGTTCATGCTTTAGATCGCTTCATGGTTCAATCTTGGTAGGTTGTATGTGTTTAGGAATTTATTTATTTCTTCTAGATTTTCTAATTTATTGTCATGTAGTTACTTATAGTAACTTATAGTTACTTATAGCCACTAATGATCCTTTAAATTTCTGCAGTGTCAGTTTTTATAGTGTGTCCTTTTTCATCTCTGATTTTATTTATTTGGATCTTCTCTCTTTTTTATTTAGACTAGTTAAAGGTTTGTCAATTTTGTTTACGTTTTCAAACGACAAACTTTTTGTTTCATTTATCTTTTATATTTTCTTAATTTCAAATTCATATAATTGTACTCTGATCTTTATTATTCCTTTTCTTCTGCTAATTTTGGGTTTGGTTTACTCTTGCTTTTCCAGTTCTTTAAGGTGCCCCATTAGGTTGTTTATTTGAAGTTTTTCTTCTTTTTTGATGTAGGCAGTTTTAGCTATAAATTTCTCTGTTAGTACTGCTTTTTCCTTATGACATAGATTTTGATAAGTTGTATTTCCACTATCATTTGTTTCAAGAAAAGTTTTACTTTTCTCCTTAATCTCTTCATTAATTCACTGGTTGTTCAGAGACATGTTGTTTAATGTCTATGTGTCTTTATAGTTTCCAAAATTCCTTGTGTTAATGATTTCTAGTTTTATTCCATTTTTGTCAGAGAAGATGCTTGATATTGTTTCTTTTTTTAAATGTTTAATACTTGTTTCATAATCTGACTTATGGCCTATCCTTTAGAATGATCTATGTGCTAAGGAGAAGAATGTGTATTCTACAGCCATTGGATGAAATGTTCTGTAAATATGTACTGGGTGATGTTTGCTGTATAGTGCAGATTAAGTCCAATATTTCTTTGTTGATTTTCTGTCTGGATAATGCTGAAAGTGGGGTGTCAAAGTCTCCAGCTATTGTTGTATTGGGGCCTATCCCTCTCTTTAGCTCTAATAATGTTTACTTTACATATCTGGGTGCTCCAGTGTAAGATGCATATATATTTTAAATTGTTATATTCTCTTGCTGAACTGAACTTTTTATCATTATATAATGACCTTCTTTGTCTCTTACAGTTTTAGCCTTGAAATCTATTTTGTCTGATATAAATCTTTTCCCATCCCATTATTTTCAGTCTCTGTGTCTTTATTGGTCAAGTGTGTTTCTTGTAGACAACAGATTATTGTTGATTTTTGAATTAATTTAGCCATTCTGTGTCTTTTAATTGGAGAGTTTAGCTCATTTACATTCAATGTTATTATTGATAAGTAAGAACTTACTCCTGCAATTTTGTTATTTATTTTTTTTTTGGTTGTTTCGTGGTCTTCTCATCCTTCTTTCTTTCTTGTCTTTCTTTTAGTGAAGGTAATTTTCTTTAGTGGTATGCTTTAATTTATTGCTTTTTTTGTGTGTACTTACCATATGTTTTTTGAT